GAGGGGAAGCTTTTCCTTATCCTGAGCTCTCCCCAGCTGCTGCAGCAGAAGGACTTCCCATTCTCCTCTGGATGCCTTCAAGGACACTTTTTGGCCATCAGATGTCTTGGGCTCCAATCACTACTTCCAGCACTCCTGCAAAAGGTGATGGAGGAAGAAGAGACTCTCCTGCCTGGGGACAGTGGCTGCGTTGCCATGGGAAATACTCAGAGCATCACTGAAGAAGGCTGAAAGTTGCTTCAGGATATATCTCTTATGTGGGACCTGAGCACTCAGAGGTCTGTCTGCTGTGGCTGCCCCATCCCTGGAAGTGTTGAAGGCCAGGCTGGATGGGGCACAGAGCAATCTGGTCTAGTGGAAGGTGTCCCTGCCCATGGCAGAGCATTGGAACAAGATGATCTTTGAATGGTCTTTCCAACCCAAACCACTCTGCGAACCCACGGCACACCACAGCCTGTCCCCTGCTCACAGACAAAACTCTGCTCCCTGGTTTGGGGGGCAAGGCAGCACCCACATTTCCAACATCTGCCCTGTCCCGGGCCACTGCAGACAGAGGCTCAGCCAGCCTGGGGCATGTCGCCCCTGCCCTCTCCCCTTCTTCCAGCTCAGCAGAACTTTCTACTCCTCCTGCTTCCAGACTTGCCTCATTTCATATTTCTTCTAAGCAGAGACAGCCCCGCTGGCTTTGTGCCTGGTCTGGTCCTGACACAGCATCGCTCCGTCTCCGTTTCCCGTGCCATCCTCCGCTCGCCTTCCCCTCCCCACGCATCTCCTGTAGGATCAGCCTGCAGACTCCACGGTCCAAGGACACTTAGCCGTCCCCTGACGCAGGTGTGCTCAGGTCACCCGGAGCCAGGACAACACTGCACACTCTGTCTTCCTGGGTCTCCCACTCGGGCTCACTCACCTCCTTTTTGCTAATACACGTAATTTTCTGGAAGTAGCAATTTATCACAGTACTTAGCTTAATGAGCCTTACTGTACATGTTCTGCCTGTAGTGATAATTTTGCATATTTCCTGAGAAATCTTGTTAACGGGGAGATACATGGCAAAACAAACATTTGTACAGCTTCTGAGCAGCTCACACACAAAGACACTGCAATTAAAACAATGACACTCAACCCCTTTGGCTCCAGCCCTCTCAGACATCCAGCGTGCAGACAACATATCAGGATGCACTTATCCCTCTTATCAGTCTTTGGTGCCCACAGATTGGCACCAGGTCTCAGGGGACCAAGAGTATTCCTGCGTTCACGTTGACTTCAGTGGGATCACCAAATCCCCACGCACCAGATCTGACGTTTCCCAGCACACACCAAGGGACCCTGGGGCTCAGTGTCCCCTCTGAGGTCTGTCTGTCCCCCAAACCCCCATCCATCACCCTGCCAGTCCTGTCCTGGGCTGGGGACATGACACACCACCCAGAGCTGACCTAGAGGCTGGGCTTTGCATGCTGCCATGTTTAATGCACATCAAAGGGTTTTCCCAATTTTTGGCTTGCCCTATCACGGTGTGTGCCTGCTGCTGCAAACCATGTCCCTACAGCACAGGACCCCACAAACACTAGGGAGCACAGGAGCATCTCACACGAGAGTGTGCAGGGCTCATCTACACCCCTCTTGTCACCTTCCTCTGTGCCTGGCTGACACCCCCAGGAGCGAGGACTCTCCGGTGTCTCACCCCATCCTGCCCCACGGCCCAGGGGAAGCAGACAAAGCAGCTTCCCTGCCCTGGAGCCTGCGGAATGTGCCATGCTCCAGGGGCAGCCACAGTGCACGACCTGCCACGGCAGCCCTGCTCCTCCCGGCCCCAAAAACTGAGCGTTTGAGCATCGCTGCCCAGCCTGCCGAGCCCAGGCGGCTGCGCGGGCTGCGGACACGCCACACCGAGCCACCGGCTGTCACCCGCCACGTGACAGCCCCACTCCCGGCCGGGAGGCACCGAGAGCAGCTGAATTATTTACGTGACCCTTGTGGTTGAACAGGAGAGCTCGGAAGCACGTAGGGCAACCGAGAGGGTTAAGAAAGGGAAGGGAGACGGCATTTAAACAAGGAAATATATCTCTATGTCTCTAAGGTCTGCAGGGTTTTCTGCTGTGGGAATGGAGGGGGGAGTCTGGAAGAGATGGAGACAGACAAGACACGACTTCTGCAAACAGCAACTGTGGTTGACTTCACATTTGTGTCCCCGGGAGAGAAAGCCTCAGTGGGAGCAGCACAGCATTAACGGGAAGGGATGGAGAGAGGTCTGGCTGTGGGTCCTGGGGCACCGCTGAAGATCTCACTGCCGCAGGAGGGGACAGGGTGGATCCACGGAGCTGGACCTGGAGCCCACCTCGCTTCCTCTCTGCTTTTATTTTTAACACCCACCTCCCACAACTCCCACAGGCAGGAGCTCAGAGCAGGGACGTGGCTGGCAGGAGCTGGGGAGGGCAGTGTCACGGCACAAACACATGGGCTTTGCTGGAGAAAGGCATCCAAAAACAGCTGCTGGAGGGGAGTGATGGGCTCAGGAGGAAAGAACCCCAGAAAAAGGTGCCCCCACCCACAGCTGGGTAGTTGGAATTGTATGGTTCCTTCTAACCCAAACCACTCCATGATCCTATGACACTGGCACATTTCCCTCACTTTCCCCTGCTCTCAAAACATCATTCATAATTATTTTACTATTTGGACCTGTGACACGCCCTGGAAATCCCAATGTCTCATCCAAACATCTGCCACATCCCTGGCAGGACAGAGCAGTGTGGGACCCTCAGAGTCCTGCACACACACACATCATGTCATCGGGGTTGCTTTTGGGGGTGTTGGGAAAGGGGATCAGCTCCAGCCCTGCTCCAGATAGGCAGGAAAGACCACCCCTGGCCACAGCTGTGGCACCTACACAGGGGCAGTTGTGAGCAAAGCTCTGCTCAGCCTCGTCCCAGGCATCCTGCATGGCCCATCCTCAGCTGCTCTCCTCCGCAAGAGGACATGTTTCAGCCATAAGCTAAATTTCCTGTCCCTGGTTCAGAGCAGGCCTGGGGACACGACCCCCACCAAGGGCACTGGATAAGCTCCAGTGAGTCTGATCCCAACTGGAGCCTGAAGGTTCAGAAAAGAGCTGGGATTAGCATTTTGAATTTCAAGTACCATTTTAAAAATCCCATTAAGACATAGAGCTCTTGTTCTGCACAGCAGTGACCGCCCTGCATCCCCTCCTCTGCTCCAACAATGCCAACTCTTTTTATATTAATCCTTTTTTATCATCCCTGGCAGAATTTAGACACTGCATTAATACAGAAAGAAGCGGACCAGGCTATTAATGAGGCAGCACAGAGAAAACAAGCCCAAACGCTCCTGACTCTCTGTCCACTGCAGCATCTCGCTCCTCCCTGGTGCCCGCCACCACGGAGGCTGTAAATCCACACTGCAAATCCACGTGTCCCACATGCTGCCCCGCTCCCTGCAGCTCTGCCAGGGGAGCACCCACTCAGATCCAGGGCATCTGATTGCTGGAAAGCAGACCTCCATCCCCAGGAACCCCCTGGGAAGGATGCTGCACCCTCAGCATGAGGCTGATGAATAAGGAGCAGCAGCGGGAGTGAGGCGAAAACACATTTTATTTTTCTTAAGGCGTATTTAAAGGAACGGAGAGATTTTAAAATACTCCATAGCATCACTTCTCAGCCAGCACCGGCTGCCAAGAGGACATTCACGAGGCTGGTTTTTACTATTATTATTAAAAAGCCTATTTTCCAATCCCATTTCACAGCCTGCGCTGGTGGTGGAGACAGAGCCCCATGTTTGGGTGCTTTCCAGGCAGAGCGGGGGGGGGGGCAGCTGTTCTTTATATAGCCCCTTCCTCCTCCGGCATCCACAGCCACCCCTGGGCATCCACAGTCACCCCTCGCCATCCACAGCCGCCCAATCACCCCGGCAGTCACCCCATTATCCCCAACAGCCACCCCCTCGGTCCCTTGCTGGCGTCACCCCAGCTCCATCCTCCTGTTGTTTTCCAGATCGAGCCAAACTCCCGTCTGAGAGATGCCGGTGGGATCCCTGCGGGACAGCCAGCCTGGCCACCCACAGCCGTCCCCACTGCCCCCCGCTGCACGGCATGGTCCCCCCCGCCAGGGACAGATCCCTCCTCGCTCCCAGGCAGCCCCGATGGTGAAGTAATTAAAAAACCACCAAGAAAAAGCAGCAGAGCGAGGGCCGGGGGGTGACACGGGGTGGGGCCCCGGGATTTAGGGTTCTGTGCCCCCGGCCACCCCCGCTGCTCCCACGCGTGGGCGGCAGCACCTCCACGGTCCCAGGGGGAACGAGGGGGGTCCGGGTCACGGGCAGCGGGGGGCACTGGGGGGCTCCTACAAGGGTGCTCCACGCGCAGCCGCCGCCTCCTCCCACCGCCCGCGCCCCGGGACCGCGGGGGGCTCGGGGGCTCCGCGGGACCCGGCACCGGCTGCGGCCGCACCGATGCCCCGCGGACACCCCCGGTCACGGCCCCGGGGGGGCAACGGCCGGTCCAGCGCGGGGCAGCGGCCCCGAGGCGCTCCCCGGCCCCGCCGCAACGGCCGCGCCGGAGGATGAACACGCAAAACGGGAGCGGAGCGCGGCGGGCGCGGCACGGCCCCGGGGGGAGCGCGGCACGGCCCCGCGGGCAGCCCCCGCCCGGCCCCGCACCGGCACCAACACGCGTCTGTATCCGGTCTGCCCGGCGGTGATGCCGCTCAACCGCCGCGGCCCCCGGCACCGCGCAGACCGGGTCCCCCACGGGGGCAACGCCGGGGGGAACCGGAGCGGCCCCCCATGGTAGAAGAGACCCCGCTCCCGCCGCGACACCCCGGCGATGGCCGGGGGGGCTCAGCCCCGGCCCCCCAGCCCCCGCCCAGCCCCGCTCGCCGCCGCTCGGGGCACGGCCCGCGGAGGGGGGGCCGGGGCGGCGGCGGGCGGTCCCCGATGGGGGCAGAGCGCTGCCCGCATCCCCCGCGACCCCCTCGGCTGCGCCCCCCACTCACAGCGCGCAGCTCCCCGGTCCGGTCCTTCATCCTGCCCCGCCGCCGCCGCCGCTGGGAACGGCCGGAGCGGGGAGGGGCGCGCGCCGAGCATGCGCGGAGCGGGGCGGGCGGGGCGGGGGGGACACCGGGGGGGCACCGGCGGGGTGGGGGGACAGGCGGGGGGGACACAACTTGGGGTCGCACTGCGCGGTCACACTGCGGGGAAGAGGCGGGTGGGGTCTCACATCGCGGGGAGGCGACCGGGGGGGCACAGCTGCGGGCGGGTGTCACCGGCGGGGGGGATGGGGGGGCACACCGAGGGGCACGTGATGTGTCCCTCTTGCGGGGAACTCACACCTGCGGGCGTCACGTCTCGGGGGTCACACTGGGAGGGATCCGTGCGCGGAGGTCACAGCTGCGGGTCGCACCCAGGGGACCTGACACTTGGGGGAGTCACGTCTGGGGGAGGGTCACACTTGAGGAGCCCTTGGGAGGAAGTCACATCTGGGAATAGAGTCGGGGGTATCACACCTCGGGAGGCCACACCTGTGGGACGTCACATCAGGGTGCTCTCAGGATGTAGGGGGGGCGCACAGCAGGGCAGCCCCAAGGGTAGGGTCACCCCTGGGTGTCACTGCGGCAGTGGGGGTCCAACATACACCACGGTTTGGGGGCACCAGCAGGGGGGCTGGCCCTGACCCCAACCTGGAGACAGGCAGGGGATGTTGGGGGGACCACCCTGGGGACCCCAAACCCAGGTTTGCAGGGAGCAGGTGCCAGCAGGGCTCAAACAAACGCTGCCAGTTTGCTGCTTTTGGGGAAAATGGTAGCTTTCAGAGACACCCCTGTTCCCCCCCTTTCCCGGAACAGAGAGGAGCGGGATCTCACACAGCCGGGGCCCGCAGGTTCCTGCAGGTCCTGTTGCCAGCGGATCCAGCCGCAGGGCCACTGGGCGCAGCTCTGGCAGCCCGGCACGTGTCCAGCATCCCTGGGGTGCCCAGTGCTTGGGTACACCCGGTGCAGAGGCTCGGGTCTTCCCCTCGGGTGTTGCGGCCAAACCCGATGCAGCTCACCCGTCACAGCCCCGCACATAGCCCTGATCATCCCGCACAGTCCCTCAGGGCTCTGCTCACCCCGCACACAGCCCTGTTCACCCTGCAAAGTCCCGCAATCCCCCTCACCCTCCACTGTCCCGCACACCCCGCACTGCCCCGCATGGCCCCCTCACCCCACACACAGCCCCGCAAACCCCTCTCACCCCACACTGTCCCGCGCTGTCCCGCACCCCCCGCACTGTCCCGCGCTGTCCCGCAACCCCCGCACTGTGCCGCACCCCCCTCTCACCCCGCACACCCCGCACTGTCCCGCACCCCCGCACTGTCCCGCACTGTCCCGCACACCCCGCACTGTCCCGCACTGTCACGCACCCCCTCTCACCCCGCACACCCCGCACTGTCCCGCACTGTCCCGCACACCCCACACTGTCCCACACACCCCACACTGTCCCGCACACCCCACACTGTCCCGCACTGTCCCGCACACCCCACACTGTCCCGCACACCCCACACTGTCCCGCACACCCCGCACACCCCACACTGTCCCGCACACCCCGCACTGTCCCGCACTGTCCCTCCCCCGTGACCCCTCCGCGGGTGCGGGTCCCGCTCTGGGACGTGGCGCCCCCTCGCGGCCTCAGCGGGGATGTGCGGGGTCAGACCCCGATACCCCCGGGCCCCCTTCCCGCGGCTCCGGGAGAGCTCAGACCGCCGGGAGAGCCCCGCCAGGGTCCGCCAGAGCCGCCCCAGCGTTCCCGTGTTGTCCCACGCTTGATTTTTCCCCGACTTACTAGGCTCCATCCCTTTCCCACTTTTTCTTCCTCTCTAAAACATCCCATGGTAATTTCTGTGCAGTCCTCCGCATCCCAAAGGTGTTCCCTGCTCCCAGACAGCCATAGCCCCCCTTTCTCCAACAGATGCCCTCACAGCAGGACCCTGAGCTGAGCCTCTGCCCGGACAGGGTGTCACTTCCTCGAGTCCCTCCGCACTCACCCTTCCCCAAGGCAGGTGAGAAGGATGAAGCCTTCCAGACCCAGCTCTCTGTGCTCACCTCTCCCCAGAGCCAGGACACCACACTCTGGCTGTCCCAGCTGAGACTGGGCATGGGTCTGACCATGCTTTTTTTCCATCACCACACTGGAGCACCTTCCCCTGATAGAGCAAACAGCTCATCTTGCCTGTGGCCCCACACTCGGCTCCCTCCAAGCTGCCACAGCTCAACACAGCTGGGTGGATCTCCAGTACTAACACGGGGCTGCCAGAGCAGGGACCCTCCAGCAGGACAGGTCAGCACCCTCCTCCATACAGGACCTCGAGCAGGACCACCCCACCCCCACCTGAAGGACCTTTTTAGCCAAATCCCATCAAGAGGCTCCCAAATAAACATTTTCCTCCTCTCCTAAGCTTCATGGAGTACCATGAAAGGCAGCATTCCCACTTTGCAAGCTTCCTGGCTGCTACACAACACCCTTCCCTACTTCCAGTCCCAACAGCTTCCCACCTCCAGGGAGGATGCAGGTCCCCTCCGTGCTGGGTGCCACCACCCACCTCAGGGAGCTCTGCTGTGTGGCAGAGGCTGGAACAAGGGACAGAGCAGCTTCTGACACCAAGAACTGTGACACGGCTGGGGGTGTGACCCTCCAAGAGCCCTGGGTTCACATGGGCTCACGGAGGGGGTCAGACAGCTCCTCACCCGTGCGGTGAGCAACAGGGGCTGCAAACCCAGGGAGCCAGAGGCACAGCTCCCTGGAACAGTGTCTGCAGCACTCAGTGTATTGATGGGCTTTCAGGTGAGTCAGGCAGCCCAAAATGCAGCAGAGAAACCCGAGGACACATGAGGAATTACAGAGGTGTTTTGAGCAGAGGCTGCAGGAGGATGGCTGGTGCAGCTGCGGTGGATCCAAGATCGATCCTGCCGTTCCTAAGGACTTCCATCAAAAGAGACAGGATCACGACTGTTGATGGAAGAAAGAGCTCAGGCATGCACAACAGGGTGCAGAATTAATCCTCACCAGGAACACAGAGAAAAGCAAGGGCTTGGCTCGGAGTGAGGCTGACAGTGCGGACACAATGGAAATCCAGAGCTCAGCCCCGAGCAGGGGCTGCAAGACCTGCAGCTTTGCTGCAGCTCAGAAACCACCTGAAGCTGCTCATTCATTCATTTTGCAGCCACTGCTGTCACTTCAGGGACACTATTGCCTTTAGAGGCAGAGGACAGAGATCCTGGAGCAGCTGCTAGAAGTAATTTGTCGAGGAACAGACTGGAAAGCTGTTCAGGGAGGGACAGACCGGAGCCACTGAGCACAGCAGTGCTGGGAAAGCCAGGGAGGAGTTCTCGCTGCCAAGAACACAGGCCAAGTCCTGTGGCAAGGGAGAGGCAGGATCTCAGAGGCAAGGCAGGGATGAGGCTCACCCCAGCACCCCACTGCCCGTGCCCACAGGGATGTGCCAGGGAGGGCAGGAGCAGCACAGGGAAGGGCCCCTACGACCGTAGTCAGAAGTGGATCCAGCTGGAAGTTGCCTCTCCCTGCACGAGGGGAGCAGGGACGATGCCAGTGGCGATTGCTCCAAACGCTCGTCTCCATGCCAACAGCCATTAAAAAGTCGCTTTTGGACAGCTAACATGGGCTGCAATCCCTTGTGCCCAAGGACAGGAGGATACTGTGCCATGCCTTTTCTGAGGACAGGACTCCTGGGGCCAATTCACATCAGGGAACGGGGATTGGGAGGAAGGAGAGCCATGCCACAACCTGCAGATGTTGAGGCAGGACACCCAGAAAGGCGTTGGGCTGGGGTGGAAAGTATAGAAGATCTGTGCCCTGTCGGCCTGGACTGACTGAAAAAGTCAAAACAGGACAGGAGAAGGGAAAGGAAGGAGAAGGAGAGGTGACCAAGGGGAAGAGGGAGAGCACATCTATGGTGGAAAAAGTTGGACATTGCAAGGGCTCAGTGTTTCCAGCAGCAGCAGGAAACTGTGGCGTCCATCTGGTCTCTCATTCCCAATGACATGTCCAGAGCTGTAAGAGCATCATGGTGCTCACAAGTACATGAGCAGAGGGAACAAGATCTCCCAGGCAGTGGCAGTGTTGGACGGGAACCCCTTGGAGAAACAATAACCACCTGGCAGGAATCAGGGGCTCCCTCCTTCTCACGCCTCCAGCAGCAGCCTGACAACAGGCACAAGCTGCCACTGCCAGTGCTCTGCACAGAAAAATAAAACATCTGACAGGGATGATCTGTAGTCTCTATCTTCATGTAAGGAACAGGTTGAAAAACAGTCATGGTGATGCTGCCTGAAGGAAAGCTGGGGACTAGACCTTGATGTCCAGCTTGACCTTTCTGGCTTTCTAAGGTCACATAAAGTCACGGGAAACCCACGTTTCCCACCTTCCCAAAGGATGATCCTCTCATTCTCAGGTCTGGAAAGCTTGAAACAACCTGGAATCGCACACCTCCAAGACAAGTTTCACTTTCACACATTGTAGAAATCCTCCCAACTGTTGTGAAAGTCAGATGATTTTATTTTTAAGTACAAGAACTTGTGAATAAATTATAGCGAAGTCTGATTCCGTCAGTCCTTTCTGATTTTTTGTGTTACTCCAGAAAATGATTTTGACAGATGAGAGAGAAAGGGAAGCACCTCCAGCCTACACGGCACTTGGGTGCACTTAAAAACCTGCTCGAACCAAAGCAGTGAGAGAAATTCAATCAAACCAAAGCAATCATTCCAGTGCAGGAACAGGGCACATGGACACTTATTTCTTGACTGATCCGATAAAGTGGGATTTTGCTCAGGTCAGCTCTACTCTGCCCTGCATTGAAATACTGACATTAACTGCAGAGAACGTGGGCTGCACCTTGGGAGGACAATGAGCATTAATAAAATGGCAGCAGGGGGGTGAGAGGCAAAGCAACCCAGAGCTTCCCTTTGCTGCCAGGAGCCTTCCTCTGCTACTCCAACCCCATGGCTAAAATTAAAATATATTGATCCAACAATCAGCCTCTGGTAGGTGTTTGAAAACAACCACTTAAAGCCCATACTGCACATAAAATACTCCTCTC